GAATAACTCTGTAAAGGTATGACTTGGGCAGTTAAAGTGAATTTCAAATTAATTTTACATTTAAGACCAGAATGGCTGAATTGGAAAAAAAAGTCAGGTATTTTTTCAATTGAACTATTTTAGGTTAAAAATATAAATTCACTTTGAATTGACTTCAAACACCCAACATTTTACACCTTAAAGAATACATCTGTTAGAGTGGTTTTCACAACAGTATCCAAAAGCAACCTATTAAATATTCAAGAGACATTCACCATGAATCATGGAGAAGGAATAATAAGATCCTTCGACTTCTATACAAGACGAATGAATTATTCCTCCATAATTTAACAAAGCAATGATATTATTCCACTTTTACAATTAAACTACAGCCTTTGCTCTATGATAGAGCATTTTCTCCAATCTTCTCTTAATACCTTAATTGAGTCTGCACCACTCTCTCTTTATATGTGTTCAGTTATATGTAATGTCACATAAACATGTTACCAACACTAACTTCAACTTTTTCAACTTTGAACCCATACAGGCATACTTCCATTGGCCATAGCATAGAATTCTGAGTGTAAAGAAAATAGGAAGTGCCAGCCCTCCACTCAATATTTTTCAAATCTCCAAGGTCGTCTTCTTCATATTACCCTAAAAACCGTATGAAAAGCAATAAGGAGCTGCAACACCAAAGTAATTAGTAAAAACCTGTTTGGAACCGGCAACGTTTCGATCCAACCTCAGGGTCTTCATGAAGCCTAGTCTTGATGTTCCACAAGTAAAATGATGACCCCTATGTACAGGATTCATGGTGTTTTGGAAAGTTATAGAGTCAAATAAAGAGATAAAGATTAGTTTGTTTAGCCTATGTTGCTTTTGAGACCGTATTGCAGCCCAGGAATGAAAACTACCACAATCATGGCATACTATTCACAGAAGTAGACAATCCAGAATATTCAAAATGTGTTATGTCCCGTCTGTTGTTGTAGCCACTTAGTCACACACCCTGGCCAAAGATAGTGTGTTATATTTTTTTTTTTCATTTTTCACACGAAATCTTTTTTGTGTGTGTGTAATCCTCATTCTCAGGTCCTCTACTAGAGGCCTGGGAGTCTGATGTTTCTGTGCAGCATCTTAGCTGTTCCTAGAACTGCACCTTCTGGACAGCAATTTAAGATCTACTGGAATTTGCTGAAGCCACTCCCCCAACATGGATGTCACAGCCCTGACTGCTCCTATCACAACTGGGACTACACTGCCTTCACTTTCCACATTTCTTCTTGATCCTCTTTCAGTCCCAGGTATTTGTCTATCTTCTCATGTTCTTTCTTCTTGAGGTTATGGTTACTGGGTATTGCCACATCCACCACCACTGCAGTCTTCCATTCTTTGTCAACCACCACCAATGTGAGGTTGGTTGGCCACTACTTGCTTGTCTTTCCAGATCTGAAAGTCCCACAGGATGTTAGCCCAGTCATTTTCAACTATCCTTTGTGGTAGCTCCCATCTAGACATAGGCAAGTCCAGTCCATATTCTGTGCAGATATTTTGTTACGCAAGCCTAGCATCTACTATGTCCTGGATTGTCTCAGATACCTCTTTTCATAGTCTGCACCTTGGGTCCTGTCTGGTGCAGTAGATCCCCACTTTTATTGATCTGAGGCTGAGTGCCTGTTTCTGTGCTGCTATGATTAGTGCCTCACTTCTGTCTTTCAGTCCTGCATTTTCCAACCACTGATAGAATTTCATAATGTGAGCCAAATCCACAATCTCCTGGTGGTACACTTTTCTGCATCCTCTATCTGTTGTTATCTCAGACATTCCCATAGTAGTTTATCTTTGATAGCCATCTTTGTGATGTACTTGTGGATGCTCTTTGTTTCATACAGAATTGTGGCCTTGACACTCATCAGGTCCCAATGTCATTCCTTCCATCTGGTGTACAGTCTCTGGGTGTTGCATTATGTGTGGAATCCTCAATTTATAGTGAGTAGTTTCAAGGTCTTGACATCCATGGTGACCAACTCTTATCTTGGCCAGGTTATTATTTCAGGCGGCTACCTGATGACTGCTAGGACATATGTGTTGATGGCTTTGATCCTGTTCTTGCCATTAAACTTGGACTTCAGGGCCTGTCTGACTCCCTGGAGTTACCTGTGCTGCTAGGATTAGTGTAGCACTCTTTGCCTCTTGATTATGGTTGTCAGGTGTTTGTGGTACCCCTAAATACCTTTAGATGTTCTCTACTTCTCCTATTTGACCTTGTAGTACCCGACTCCTGTCAGTCAGGTCCCCCGATCATGATCATCAGAGAACAGCCCTAACAGCGTTAAAGACTTCCCTTTGTGGGACGGGATAGCATGCCCTAATGTTGAGAAAGGGTCAAATGCTGTATTGTGAAGTAGCACATTATTACTTTATTATTTATATAGCACCATTCCATTCCATAGCGCTGTACATTAGGTGGACTAACAGACATGTCATTTTAACCAGCCAATTGGACGTACAGGAACAGAGAGGTGGAGGGTCCTGCTCAATGAGCTTACATTCTGATGGAAGAATGCCAACATGTGGAACAGAAGGAATGCCATTAAACACATACTAGGACTAAATAATGAAAATCAAAATCTTACTGTACCTTTAAAAAAAATTTTACCTAGTTTTTATCAGCTTTAAGGATAAATCTGACATACAGTATGCCCTTTTCTATATAATAATAATCCTAAAAACATAAGCTCCTTTAAAGAATGGCAAAGCATATCTAGTATAACGCTATCATTTTAAAAATCTCAGGAGAACTAGAGCTGCAGCTGTTTCAATATAATTTGGTAATATAATGGGTTAAATAGGCAGCTCAGGTGTCTTTATACTCTGGCAGACTTATTTCAGTTTGATGTCTGCTTATGATGACTTCCCTGTATATGGACTTTTAATCAGATCAAAATAAGATAGTATATGTAATATTTATTATTGCAAAATCCGTTAGCTATTTTAAGCAACGCGTATGTTCTTCTGTAACAAGTTCTTTATAGACACAAACTCCCTTTGCCTACCTTATTTATTCACCTATTGTGCAGTGCTGCAAATTATCATGGCAATACATTAGATACCATGCAATCTCACCTAGATACAAAATCTTAAACAAATCCATTGATGCACCCCTAACAGGCATAAGAAAAACTGTGACTTAAACATGTTAGATTATGCAACTATGGCCCCTAGCAAAATTTCTTTTAATTTTAACCATGATTTGAATAAAGGAATTCCTTGTTAAATGCACGTTGCCTCTGGCTGACTGGTCTATCCAGAGTGCCAGGTCATTCCTGATTTTTGTTATTATTTATAAGGCTAGATTTTCCTTCCCCCAAGGGATTCCTTATGTAGACTGGACAAAAATAAAAAGAGTGCAGTTTCCCATACTTTGTGGATTCCATTTTGGACCTGTGCCTGGAGGAACAAACTTGAAAACAGCAAGATATCCTTACCGTATCGTGCTGATTTCCATCTTAAAAACTCAAACAATATATACCTGCTTGAGTCAAAATTGTATCAAACCAAGCTGCCTGTCAGTGATTGAGTGACTTCACTAAAATTTAACTCTAGTGCTTAAAAAGGAAAACCATAAAAGTTTCAAATGTTTGCATTTGTACTTAAAAGGAACACTATAGAGTTAGGAGTACAAAACTGTATTCCAAACACTGTAGTGTACCTATGATGCCCTCTAAAACTGCAATATTTTACATAGTAGGGCTAAGAGGAGAGTGACCCTGCACTCATACCACTTCAATTAGATGAAGTGGTCTGGGTGCCTAGTGTGCCTTTAAAATGTAAAACTGCAGCTTACAAATAAAGCAGAGCAGTGTGTAAAAAAAAAAATATATTTTTTTTTAAACTACACTAAAAAGATGTGAACTTAACACTACACTATGGCTGTACAAGAGCAAAGATGTACTAGTATGCCACTGTTCTAGCAGAAATACATTGTACACAAATTGAAGGATGCAAAGCCAACAGCAACTAAAGAGAGCCTCCTATTGATTTTTTCTTCTTGTTAGTATTCCTAACTGCACACATGGCAATATGTTAATATTTGTCATAACGAATACTATGCCACTGCAATATAAAATAACTTGTTGGAATAAAAAGGTTTTAAGAAGTATTTTCAAAATGGCAAAGTATCATGCACTTTACTGTGCTTGCCATTTGATCACCTGCACCTTGAATAGCTAGATACCGATCTAGGCACACTGACAGCAGGAGTGGATACCATCACTTGATCAGCAGAGAGCATGTACTCTAGTATTACAAGTTTGTCACTGTTCCCACAGAAAGATGCCCATTGTCACTTGAAAACAGATTAATACACACCAGTAAAACCATATGTTGAAAAAAAAAAAAAAAAAAAAGAAAAGAAAAAAATGGTCCATAGCATTGTTAAAAAGCACACTAGTGGGGAAAAAAAGTTTAGAAGTTTAAATTAACTTAGATTTACAAACAAAGCAGATTAGGAGGGACACAGATAAGGGATAATTTATAATTAATAAGAAATTAATGCACCCAATAACCAAGTCAGGTAAGATGAGCAGATTGCAGGATGATGAAAACCTCCACTTAGATTATGTGCTACATGTATATAAGCTCACACCACGGTAAAAATCAGTGCTTATAAATAAAATGGCTTTAGGTGCACACCCAAAATGAATTCAAACATCACGCAGACAGCTGTAAATAAAAAGTGTACTAAGTCCTGAAAAAGATTTGGTGGTTTCCACATCAAGGACGTTCAAAGGGCTGAGTTGTTTAAAATACAAAATGTTTATTTACTTAAAGATTGGAGCAACGAACTTCAAGGAAAGGAAGGGGGTGTGTGTGTGTGTGATAGAGAGATATAGAATATATTCCCCCTTTTTTCAGAAACTAGTTGTATACACTGACATCAGTTCTTAATGTTAGGGTTACCTTAATAAAAACCATGCAAAAAGTATATTCCAGAGAGCAAATGAACACAGAAGAGATTTATTTCAGAAGACTTGTTTATTGAAGCTGTAGACAATATCCACATTTCTATAAATAGAGACATTACTGAATCAGTGACTTGTGCCACCAACACAGGTACATAGAAATACACATACAGAAGCTCCACCTGAAGCTATTAAATTTTTTTTCTGAAAAAAAAAAAAAAAAAAATTCACCTGTGCCCATAAACCCAGCTGCCAAATCATTCTTTAAAAAAAAAAAAACCTCAATAATAAAGTGCAGTTTGGCATTTTTCGAAAACAGGGACAGCTGGCATGCAGATAGGATGGCTGTGCAAAAAAAAAAAAAAAAAAAACAGACGGCTGTATGGATGTCAAGCACATAGAGGCTGTCAGACTTGGACTATCAGAAAGATTTTCCAAGTTCGCTTGATTTTACAGTCAACGTGAACTGTAGAACAAAACTGTATGGGGAGGCAATGTGCAAGGTTTATATATTTAAAAAAAATAAATCCCCACATATCCACAGTAAGTCAGCCATACTCTGTGTCACCAAGAATGGTTACACAAAAGGTATGGGGCTTTCTAATGCAATGCGATTAAATATGGGACCAATTCAGTGTGAATTAAGAGGTTCTCATTGTGTGGGAAAGAGGCTGTAGCACAAGGAATCACAAATCTATGTGAGCCTGAGCTTAGTAGTGTTAGAATGTGACCCATATATTAATCTGCCCTACAGAAGACTGTATTAACACTTTCTAGGAATTACTATGTGGCACTTCTTTATTTTACACAACTTAATTCAGAAGATTTTTTCTTTTCTTTATTTTTAAAAAGAGTTTTCTTACTCAAGTATGGAGTAAAACATACAGAAACCAAATTGAAGTGATGCAGACACGCTGAACCTATATCAAGGACACATAAGTGACTTAATAAGTGCCATATTAACAATTGAGAATAGCAGGCAGTAAGGCTTTCTCTGCCCTCAGGACAGTTGACGGATTTAGATTGTGTAACCGCTGTGTAGCTAGTGGAAAAGAAACAACTGTAAAATGTCACAAATCAAGTCAGTGGGGGAGAAATGCGCATAAAGCTTGACATCACATTACGTGGAGTGTTTGCCTTCCAGTGACTAATCAATCACAGACTAAAAAAAAAACAAAAACAAAAAAAACCTAAATTGTTATAATTGTGCTTTTACAGCAGAATTCATGTTATCTTACAAAACAGCAAATGCTGATGTGAAGGTTCCCTCTGTCTCTCTGCAGTGTATTGGAAACAGCACATAGGAACCAGATTGTACATGCAGCATAGACTTGTGTCTAGAACTCTAAATTTAGATAATACTGTATAAATGCATAGCATTTCTTGTGATGTAACCAATTGACAGTGGTAGAGGAAAAAAAGTGAAGAAATAGCCTTCATGCACTGCATGTATATGCTTTCTCAAGAAACTTTCTAAGTTAAACACATTGGACAGGATATTCCCTATATACATAAATCAACTGACCCACAAATGATTTAGAATAGAAAAAAAAAAAATCCTATGCCACATTTTTAAATCTGCTAGACTCCTCGACTTGTACTTCAGATTGTATTTCTTTATAGGAGTTTCTTCAAAAATACAAAATTTAAAGTTTTATTCAACACTTTGCAAACATTCACAGTTTATCATTCACGATGACCAGATTCTATTTCAGCCACTGACGTACAAAAGACATTTTCCTGATGTTTATGAAAACACATACTGGAAGTGTTGTTGGATTTGGCAGATCTCCCACAGTGAGATTCCGCCCAGCTGAAAAAGAAAGATGTAACGAGGCTTAGACAGCATCAAACCAGGCAGCCCAGGCATCTGATACAGACTGGTTAACGTCAAATTTTGACGGCCAAACTACTTGTCAAACTAGAACACAATATCATAAAAGTAAAACAGAGTCATCTTTTCTTTTTCTGTTGCCTGAGCATTTTTCGCCTCTTAATGATCATTTCATACAATTTCTCAATTCCTTCCCTCAAACCATCGCCTATGATGGCACATGTGGGTTGGAGATGCCACGGTGTAGATGAGCTGAGTTCATTTAGTGCTAACATCTTCTCAATTTCCGAAAGAGACAGCGAGTTCCTGAGGTCCTGTTTATTAGCAACTATTAAAACAGGAACACCCTGGTTTTCTGAGATCTTAGTAATTTTATACAGTTCCGTTTTTGCTTCTTCCATCCTCTCAATGTCCACAGAGTCTACCACAAATACAATCCCATCAGTACACCTTGTGTAGGACTTCCAGAGTGGTCTTAATTTCTCCTGGCCACCAACATCCCAAAAGTGAAAAGTTACGGTTTTGGAGTTACCAAGTGGCACTTTAATTTTCTCTGCATTAAATCCTTTGGTAGGCACTGTATTAACAAATTCATTAAACTGTAGCCTGTACAGTACAGTTGTTTTTCCAGCACAGTCCAAACCTAAAATGACAATGTGAAGGGCTTGAAAGGTAGATAAGCCATTAAGAATAGGATTCTGTTCTGAAAGTCCATTACCCATTTTTGTATTTTTATATATTTTTTTAAAATGACAAGTTGAAATATATCCAGATGAGTTCGCCAAGTGGTGTAGTGGTGGTAAATTACCTAGAACACAAAAACAAAACAAATACATTTTACCACCATTTGCAAAGTAAAACATACAGACATCAGACAGACCAGATCTAAATAAGACTGCTGAGAGATATGATACATTTTTTTAGTTACAGCATGGTCCAAATCACCAGTTTCAAGGCTTGTACCTTAATTTTAATTTAAAAAAGAAACCTTTCAAAAACACCCCCATATGCAAAACAAAAACAACCATCTGCACTAAAGTTTAAAATATATATATATATATATATATATATACACACACACACACACACAGCAATAAGTGACATTTAATAGGTACTTACAAATACATGTACCACGTTTTAAAATGCCCCATTGATATTTACGTTTCATTTTTTTCTGACAATACAATGTACTGTTCAGCACTTGTTTATTGTAACTTGTTACATTTACTTACTGCTTATAATGCATAATTCGTATAATATATATTGCTGGAAACTAAAAATCTCAAAAAAAATAAATATATATATATATATATATATATATATATATATATATATATATATATATATATATAAATAAATTTTAAAAAAAAAAAACCCACCACACACACACACACACTGCAGAAAATAGGGGTGTTGGCCAGAAAACCTATATACGTACTGCACTCAAAATTCCAAAAAAGAGTTCCCCAAAAACATTTAATAACCAGGTGCCAAAGTGCCCATGTGAGAGCTGACTGCAGACATTGGTCACATTGTGCAGGGGATAATGAATACAAGGTGGAGTGTTTACATTGCAGTGACTGCCCAGCTCATGCTGCAGGCCTGGGGGGAGCACTATGGGTTAATGAGAGCTGTAGCCAAGGATTACCCAGCATCAACATCTCGCTCCCTCCTTGAACTGGGCTCACCCTCCCCCTCCCACCCACCGCCCATGGACACCCAGCAATGAGCTGATAACAAGGGCCCCGGGGGGGGATTTTTAACCCTTACCTTGCAATCTGCATAGCACCATCCGGCAATCAGACGATGGCTAACTCCAAAACTCAGTCTGTGGCCCAGAACCTGCGGCTAGTGAGTCCAGCTGGCCCGATGCATGCCGCCAGTGTGCCCTAACATGCTGAACACATGGAGATCGGCGGTTGGGGAATCGGGGGAAACCTGCCAGGTGACCGTGAGTGGCTGCTAGCCCGCTGTTGCTGCAGTGACCGGGGCTGTGATCCAGGGAGTGCACACCTCAGTACCACCCGCCGACTCTGAGCGCAGAGTCTGAGCACAGCAAACACATTACCAGGCAAGTGACTGGAAGCCTGGCCACGCCCTCCCCGCGGCGAGCCACCCGATTGGCCAGCTCGCTGCGCCCACGCTCATTGGCTGAGCACGTTGTCAGACTGCTTCTAAGCAGGATGTCACCTGTTGGCGCCAAGCAGGAGCCAAGCAGGAGCCAAGACAGGGCTATTATACACACACAGTGCTGGCAGTCATTGACTGCTATTATGTGATGTGTACGGCGGTGAAACCAGTACATGGCGTTCAGCAGGCCTTGAAATGTCATAAGAAGCTTAGTTCACATTTTTTTTTTTTTGTACAAAAGGAAATAAAACATAAGTACAAACTGTCTGATAATTACATAAATAAGAGCACCCACACAATGTGTGTTTATTCATTAATCGGTCAATTCCAATATTTTTTTAAAACTTTATTTTATTTTTTTTAAACAAATTTTTGAAATCTTGGATCCTCCAGTCTATTGATGCAGTTTATAAAAGCGTTGCGTAATTGAGAAGTCTGGAAGTATTCTATAAGTGGAGCAGTTGCCATGGAAACCAAAAAAAATAAATCATCTAGAATAGTCCATATGTTTTCGTGGAAGCTGGTCCATGTTTTAGAATTTCTGTCTCACACTTCTGTTAGAAGCAATTTTATGAATCCCCATCAATGACTAGGGTCAGGTTAAAAGGGACACTATAGGCACCAAGAGCACTTCATCCCATTGAAGTGGTCTGGGTGCAGTCCCTGGCCCCATTACCCTGCACTTTAAAACATTGCAATTTCAGAATGTAGTGAATGCAGAGTGTGTGTCAGTGTAGTGAATGCAGAGTGTGTGTTAGGGTAGTGGATGCAGAGTGTGTGTCAGTGTAGTATATGCAGTGTGTGTTCTACTAGTGTATGCACAGTGTGTGTCAGTGTAGTGTATGCAGTGAGTGTAACCCGTGATAACCCATCGCAATGCTCTGACAGCCACATGTCTCGCGAGATTTAATGGGAGAGTGGAGCTGAATGTGCAGACACAGTGTCCTGGACCCCCTCTGCAGTAACAGGTAGCCAGGGGCTTGCAGCTGCACATATATAAAGCGATAATCATTATATATATGTTCACATAGGCATTGTGGGTCCCGGGTCTACCACAGCAGTCCGGGCCTCCCAGGACCGCCGGGCCCGTGACAACCGTCATAGTTGTCACCCCCTGATGGCGGTCCTGATCTGAGGAGACTGACTGCTCTACGGAAGACATAAGGGATGAGAACTTTGAAAACAACTATTCAAACTCCAGCACTCAAAGCCTAAACCTGAATATAAATACTTTTATCAAATCATAAATCACATGTAACTCTCAAAAATGTAATACCACCTGAACCCAAATACTAAATTTATTCCAATAATCCTAAACAGCCTTTATAGTTTATGCCTGCTTAAGCTTTTAATCTTAACACTAAAAACACTATATAATCTAACTCTAATGTTAACCACTGTGTAACCTTTAATTGCCCTAACAACTACTAAAATGATATTTCCCCTGCATGCATGCACACAACTGTAAACATTCACTCACACATTCAAACACAACACATTACAAACAGAGCAGAAATATGCATACACACACATTTGAACATATACAGTTGCCAAATATGAATGTATGTTTTTTTTTTTAGATGTTTTTAGGCGTGCAATGTCTACCAAATAAATCCAAAATGTATGTGTCAGGAGCAACTCCTCCTAATTGCCGTTTATAAAGTGCTGATTTCCATTCGAAACTGGCACTTTCATAACTAATTGCAGAAACACCTCCCTGGCTATATATATATATATATAGGAACTGAAACGTCGATATTTTGGAGTAAAAGAAGCTTTATTTAGAAATCCTGGGACTCTGGGAGTGCGGATTTCTTTCTTGTTCTCCATATCTAGTGCAATTTAGCACCGGGTTCCACATTTTGTAAGTAGGAGTGCAAGGCTTTTGACTTTATATATATATATATATACAGGGCTGGTCTGGTAAAAAGGGGCCGAGAGGGTGTGTTTTGTCATCACTAATGACAAACACGCCCCCTTTCAAAATGAGCATTTTGGCTCAATGCTGTTCCAGGGCAGACCATGCGTAGAGCTCTGCTGAAGAGCTCTAGCATGAGAAAAAAGCCCTGTATTTGTACTGCACAGTGCAAGCAAATTTAATAACATGCTTGCGCTGTGTTTCCTTGCAACTTGTCTCTGGTGTCTCTATTAATGGATACCAGGAGACAAAAGGGCCAGGAATGAGTATTGTGCATGTGCTTGTGGTATTGCGTGTGTGTAGAGTGAGCTGATTGTGGTGTGGTATTGTGTAATGATGTAGAAATCAATCAATAAATTTATTATCTTGCGTATCTGCAAATTAGAGAAATAATGCGTGCACGCTCCTAAAGTAATTCACACCAGACACAAGTTTCGGGTTAATGAAAAACTTGAGGAATGTTTATTCAGGGGGGGCGACATGTCCCTTATAAAGCAAAATTACATCATAAGCATTGTCAGAGATAACATGGAATAATACATCAATAATTGGTTAGGTGTTAAGTGGTTCATTTAGTGCTCTGCCTAGCGGGTGTGATGTCACTGGTATCTTGGAGGTCTCCCCCAGATTCCAGCGCCATCTTGTTAATGAGGGTGTTAGTCGATGTTAAAGGGGAAACTTCCTAGCGGCCATTTTAGGTAAATCACATAGAAAGTTGAGTAATGCTGATCATAGTTATGTTGAGTAAATAGACATTTTACTAACATGGATTGAGTTAATATTTTTGTCCGCAACATAAGGTCGGTTTTAATTGTGTTGTGTTTGTGGTGTAATGCAATTCATATGTGGCTATGGGCTGTAGAGAATGTGTGTATTGGGGATATAGCAAGTGTGTGCATACAGGCTATAGTGTGTGTGTGTGTGTGTGTATAGGTGATGTAGTGTTTGTAGAGAGTGTGTGTTTAGGGTTGCTTACAAAGAATCTAGTGTGTGTATAGGGGATCCACAGTGTGAGAGTGTGTATGTTAGGAATGTGGTGTGTGTGTGCGAATATATATATTTATATATGTGTGTGTATATATAGGAGTCTAGTGTGTATTTGAAGGACCCAGAATGTGTATAGGAGATCTAGTGAGTGTGCGTATATAACGGATTCAGAGTGTATATAGGGATCTAGTGTGTGTATGTGTGTAGATGATCCAGATTTGGGTAAGGGATCTAGTGTGTGTCTGGAATGTAATGTGTTTAGGGGTGCATTATGTGTGTGAGGGGTGCTGTATATATATATATATATATATATATATATATATATATATATTATATAAATATGTTTGGAAGTATTGTGTATGTGCGTGGTGCAGTGTGTTGGGGGGAGGGGTTCTGTGTGTATGTGAAGGGTGCAGTAGGTGTTTAAGGGGTACTTTGTGTGTGAGGGTGCTGTGTGTGATTTGTGTGTGTGGGTGCTGTGTGTGATTTGTGTGTGTGTGTGTGTGTGCTGTGTGGGTGTTGGTTCTATGTGTGATGTGTGTGGGTGCTGTGTGTGATTTATGTGTGTGGGTGCTGTGTGTGATTTGTGTGTGGGTTGCTGTGTGTGAGGGTGCTGTGTGTGATGTGTGTGAGGGTGCTTTGGGTGCTGTGTGTGATTTGTGTGAGGGTGCTGTGTGTGGGTGCTGTGTGTGAGGGTGCTGTGTGTGGTTTGTGTGTGTGTGATTTGTGTGAGGGTGCTGTGTGTGATTTGTGTGTGTGTGCTGTGTGTGATTTGTGTGAGGGTGCTGTGTATGATGTGTGTGAGTGTTGTGTGTGAGGGTGCTGTGTGTGAGAGTGCTGAATGTGATGTGTGTGAGAGTGCTGAGTGTGATGTGTGTGAGAGTGCTGAGTGTAAATGTGTGTTGGGGGGGTAAAAAAACTAATTAAAAAAACTAAGCAGGCATTATATCCCCCCTCCCTTCTTACCTTTCAGCCTGGAAAGGGGGGACCGGCACGGTGGTACCTGCGTAGGGGAGGACACCGGCACTCTCACATCATCCCTGGTGGTCCTAGTGGTGAGTGAACTCTAGCCTGATCTCCTCACCGGCCCGTCATTGAAAACAGTGGGGCCGGCGCTCGGATAGTGCCGGCCCTGCATAGACTGGCAGGGGAGATCCTGCAACCTCCCCTGCCGGCCTCGGCCCATGGCCACCGCGGCCCACCGGGCATTTGCCCAGTGTGCCCGATGGCCAGTCCGGGCCTGTATATATATTTTTCCCCACCATAACCTTTTTGGATTTTGCTATATATATATATATATAGCAAAATCCAAAAAGGTTATGGTGGGGAAAAATTGTGATTGAAAACCCCTTCCACCTGAAGTATGTGGATAGTTAATACAATGCTAAACAAAAATCTGCACACCAGTCAAGCCATAAGACTTGCTTTTCCCACAGAAATCCCAAATCAGCAGTGATGTTACAACCGCAAAGGATTCTGGGTGGGCATATGCAAATTAGTTTAACAAAGAATCACATTTTTGCCTCATTCCATTTTAAACATGGATTCCTTTTAATGTAACATCACTGCTGATTTGGGATTTCTGTGGGAAAAGCAAGTCTTATGGCTTGACTGGTGTGCAGATTTTTGTTTAGCATTGTATTAACTATCCACATTCTTCAGGTGGAAGGGGTTTTCAATCACAATTTTTCCCCACCATAACCTATTTGGATTTTGCTTCCCAAGCACTACCAAGCCTCACTAAGCAAACCAGTAACCAACCTCATGCTGAAGAGTTGCATTAACAACGAAACAGCTGTCCATGAGTGGTTCACTGGTTTTGCATCTTATCCTAAATTGTGTTCCAAGCAGTTGTATACTGCAAACACAAATTAAAAGGAATCCATGTTTAAAATGGAATGAGGCAAAAAGGTGATTCTTTGTTAAACTAATTTGCATATGCCCACCCAGAATCCTTTGCGGTTGTAACATCACTGCTGATTTGGGATTTCTGTGGGAAAAGCAAGTCTTATGGCTTGACTGGTGTGCAGATTTTTGTTTAGCATTGTATTAACTATATATATATACATATATATAATGCAGAGATCCAGGAGGCACTCACAGGTCTTAAATTAGAAAAATATGATTTATTGTATCAGAGTTACATACAGTTGGTAGAACGACGTTTAGACCTTGCCGCG